GAGAGAGAAGGAAATGTATAATAAACCCTCCCCACATCTAATTAAGGAGCCCTGGTGGCACAGTAGTTAAAGTGCTCAGCCGCTAACCCAAAGGCTGGCAGTTCAAACCCACCAGCAGCTCCACGGGAAAGAGATGTGGCAGTCCGCTTCCGTAAAGATGATGGCCTTGGAATCTCTATGGGGCTGTTCTACTCTGTCTTACAGGGTCACTAAGAGTCCAAATCAACTCCACGGCACACAACAACAAGTCTGATTAACTATTCTGAATGGTTAAATTTTAAAAATTGGTGCATGATAGTCATCTATCCAAATTGACTGCACTGCCTATATATTGTGGATATCTGAAGTTTCTGTGTTTGAATACTAGGCCCTCCCACTAGGACAGAAGAGGGTGACAGATAAGCCCCATCTACTGCCCAGAGCTTTCACCCATCCCCAACTCCCTGGCCCTTACCACCCACCCCACTCATGGCAGGAGGTCTCCTAATCATTCAGGCAGACAGAAGGGCCTTTGATGAACAGAAAATGAACCCCCATCTGGGTCTGATATAGCCCTCCCGCTCCTACCTCTTACTTCCCAGTAAGAGTAGCCACTGCTGGGCCTTGGGGAGGTTAGCATTTCTGTCAAAAATAGAATAAGAAAAATCTGCTTGGCTGTAAGATTTATATTTATTATTATTATTTCCTTTTTCTTTTTTTCAATTTTACTCAATATGCCAAAAATAACATAGCAGACACACCCCTATACCCACAAATGCTATGATTAAACAGATGTTAATATTTGGGTACATTTGTTTCAGAGCTCCTTCTGCTGGTACACTTCTTTGATACAGAAATAAAATGTTATAAATACAATCAAAGACTTCCCCCATCTCTTCTCCCTGCCTCCCACCTCAGAGGTGGCTCTGCGCATTTCTGTATTTTTTACTATGTTTGTTGCATCCACAAGCAACATATACTGTTATTTTGTGTTTTTGAAACCTGCATAAATAGTCTGTTCGTATCCTATCGCTTGGCAAATTGTCTTTTCTACTCCATAGTATGTTTTGGAGATTTATCCATGTTGATATGTATAAATATTACTAATTACTTTAGCTGCTATATAGTATTCTGTTGTTTGGATAAACCCCAGTTTATCCAGTCTTCTGCTGAAGAACACTGATATTTGTTTTCCACATTTTTGTTATCATAAATATTGCTCAATAAACATGTTTATACGCGTCTCCTTGACACATGGCCACACGTTTCTTGAGGGTACACAGCTAGACATAGAATTGCAGTATGGCCGCTAACTTTCTAGGCAATTTTCAGCAAGTTGCAACCTCTCTGCTGCCACTTCCTCAACCATGAAATGGGACTCCAGCTTATGGCTCCATAGGTCTCTCATAGAGAAAATGTAAGAATTTAAAATTTCCAAATGATAATTAATTCGAGAAAGTGCTTCCAATAGCCTAAAAGAAAAAAACAAATGTCCCCAGTGGATACAAAGCTTAGGCCAGTGATATAATGGAAATGGTGAAATTTTAGAATGTTCCTTACTCTAAAGATGATTAATCTGGACACCTCGGGATGTCTCTGCCTGCTCTGTGTGCCCTTGGGCCCCCTCACTTCACAGTGGCCATCTAGATTCTAACCCTTTCTCCAGCTCAGGCCCCAAACCCGCAGGGCTCCCTCTTCTCCACCCCCAGTCTCCTTGGAGCCAAAACAATTTCTAGACCTGGTTGGAGCCCATCTCTGCAGTGATCCAGATGGCTTTCTTCTTGCCTGTGAATGCCTCAGGCTGGTAATAGGATTGACACAAAGTTAGGCAGGAAGGGTACTTACATTTGAGGCTGGTATATTTTCTTGAAGGAGCCCCGGTGGTACAATGGTTAAGTGCTTGGCTGCTTATCAAAAGGTTGGTGGTTCAAACCTACCTGTGGCTTCGTGGGATTGAGAAGACCTAATGATCTGCTCCCGTAAAAAATACAGCCTAGGAAACCCTATGGGGCAGTTCTACTCTGTCTCATAGGGTTGCTATGAGTCAGAACTGATTTGACAGACACAACAACATAGTTTCTTGACTTTTCTTTCTTCGTTAAGGGTGTGTGTGTGTGTTTCAGATAGTTTCACTTAATAATGGAACTATTGATACACTCCTACCATTTGGGAGTACAAAATTTAGACTTCATATGAGAACACACATAGTCCCTCACCTGACACTGGGACAACTCGAAATTTTTTTTTTTTTGTAAGTTCAGGCTGAAGATCAAGACCTCCAGACTTCATGGCAAAAGACCCGAGGCAGAAGACAAGTCTTATCGAGGGAATTCCCTGTCCCTTACACCAGCAACGTGGAGGACTGGGAGAGAATGGTTTGTTCTGTAAACCTACAGCACTACAGCTCCTGACTCAACCCCAAAACATGCCCACGGGCAGCACCCTCCAGTTCTGCATTAGTTTCTTCCTAGTGGCAAGATGGGAAATCTGGAGACTCAGCTCCAGTCCTTGCACAGGTTCAGCCACTCCGTGGGTCACCAAATATTCAGGGACCACAGCAGGAGATGTGGGGGAGGAGCTTTCCCTGGAGCTCAGGAGGGCCCATCTGGAGGCCCAGAAGTTGAAGAGAAAGTGGCTAGAGCCACATCTTGGTGCTGAACAGTAGGTTGGGGAGTTCTGCAAAGAAAGGCATTCATGAGGAGTAAAGAGCATGAGCTTTAGAGTCAGATCCACCACTTTCTTGCTTGCTGGCTTTGAGCTGACTGCTTAACTTCTCTGAGTCTCCATGTCCTCCCTTATGCAATGGGGTGATGGCATGTATCTCACACGGTTGTTGTGAGCACAGTGCCCGATGCCAATGAGGCCCCCAAATATGCTTTCTCTCTGATTGACGCTCTGCTATGGATCAGGTGTATGAATGCAACAAAGTGACCATCATCCCCAGACACATTTCCCAAGTGATTACCGGTGGCCTCAGAACAGAAATCACACATCTCATACTCCCAAGTCTGCTCTGATACCTCCCCACCAGGATAGCAGCAGAGGAGTGTGGCAGTCAAGGGTGAAGGCTCTGGAGCCAGATTCCTGAATTCAAATCCCACTTCATCCACTAGTATAGTTGCTGTGTGGCCTTGAGAAACTTTCCTCATCTGTAAAATGGGTATAAAAATAGTAGTACCAACCTCAGAGAGTTGTTTGAGAATTGAGTGAGTTAACACCTGTGCCTGGCACAGAGCTAGTGCTCAGTCATGATAGCTATTGATATAAAGATCAGCATACCCATTTCTCAGGGACCAAGTGTGTATTTACATATAGCTGAGGTCCTGGTGACACAAGGTGAATAAGCCCGTCCCCGCCTCCCGGGAGATCCTGGTCTCTGGGAAGAAATAAGCCAGTGAATAAACAGACATGGTAAGTCAGTGCTGTGGTGGGGAAGCACATGGTGCTAGGGAGCCTAGAGGAGAGATTCGGAGGAGGGTGGGAGAGGTCAGCAGAGACTCTGAGTCTTGAAAGATGGAGAGGCATTAGCTAGGCCAAGGGGAGGAGGGAGGACTGTCCAGAGAGAAAGAAGAGGCTTGAGAAAACACTCATTTATTTAAAAAATACAGGAGTCAGTCATACCTTAATTAAGTTGTTAAAATATGTCAGTGCCCCTTGTTCTAGGCACTGGGGAGGCCGCCGTAAATAAAACAGAGTTCCTGTTGTCATTATGCTGGTGTTGTTGCTAGCTGCTGTTGATCACTGATGGTAGTGATCTATAGGGTTTCACAGGATTTTCAATGGCTGATTTTTAGAAGTAGATCATCAGGTCTTTCTTCCTAGTCTTAGTCTGGAAGCTCCACTGAAACCTGTTCAGCATCATAGTAACACACAAGCTTCCACTGACAGGCAGGTGGTAGCTGCATATGAGGGACATTGGCCAGGAATCTAACCAGGGAAAGTCTTCCACGTGGAAGGTGAGAATTCCACCACTGAACCACCAATGTCCCCATCGTCATTATGATAAAAACAAAAAACCAAACCCACTGCTGTGGAGTCGATTCTGACTCATATGACCCTATAAGACAGAGTAGAACTGCCCCGTAGGGTTTCCAAGGCTGTAATCTTTACAGAAGCCCACTGTCACATTTTTCTTCCACAGAGCGGCTGGTGGGTTCCAACCGCCAACCTTTTGGTTAGCAGCCAGAGCTTGAACCACTGCACCACCAGGGTTCCTCATTATGATACAAAAAAAAAAAAAAAAAACACCAAACCCGTTGCCATGCAGTCGATTCCGACTCATAGTGACCCTATAGGACAGAGTAGAACTGCCGCACAGGGTTTCTCCAAGGAGCCGCTGATGGATTCGAACTGCTGACCTTTTGGTTAGCGACCCTAGCTCTTAACCACTGACACTTATATCCCACTCATAATATGCCTTGCTGAAGCCCCTGTGTTATGCTTGTTAACTGGGAGATAGACATCCTACTATAACCTCTATTTTACGTTTTGGGAAACTAGGACACAAACAAATCTGGGAAATGGCCAGGTTGGGAAGGAAGTTAGGGGCAAAGTTGGGCTTCAAACCAGGCAGTCTGGCTGCAGATCTGGTCCTAATCACTCTCCTGTGCAGTTCATCCATCCATTCAGTGAGCTACAAGTGGGTTTTCTTGGCTGGCGAAGGGAGTCAATCATGGCAGACAGATTAGGGCCAGGCTGAGGAGTTGGTATTTTATCCTGCAGGGCTGCAAGCTGGACAGAAGATGGTTTGGAGAGGGCAAGGTACGACTCAGCAAGACCTCTCAGTAGGTTGTTGCAAGAATGGAGGCCAGAGAAGACTGTGGCCTGGAATGCCGTGAGGGCCCAGAGTTGCAGTGAAGGGGACGGCTTCCTGCGGAGCTTATCGTGGGCAGAAGAGGCTGGCCTGGGGCGTGAAGTCGCCGGCGCCAGACCGGCCAATGGCCGCGTCCTGGGCCGCGGCCCCTCCCGCGGGGCGAGGGCTGCGGGCTTGTTCTGGTACCGGCGCTGCCGCATCCCCGCCGCGCTCTCGGCACCGCCGCCTGCCCGCCCACCGCGCGCCTCCCGCTCCCGCTCCCGCGGTCAAGCGGCCACCTCCGGGCAAGGCACGGCAGGTTTAGCCCGGAGCGCAGCTCGGTCCAGTCAGGGTGGGTGAGGGGCGGCGGCGGGGGGCGGCAGCGGCTCAGCTCAGACTAGCCTGGGTGGGTGAGGGGCGGGCGCTCGACTCCGTTCAGACCCTGAGGGGAGGGGGGCTGATCCGGGCCGTGACTACCCCGCAAGGGGGCTGGGACAGGATTGGGGTGTGAATAGGGGTCAGAGCACTAGAGCTAGGGTCTGACCTAGTCGGGAGGCGGCAGGGCTCGAACCCGGGACGAAGCCGGGGTGCACAGGGGCTGTTAGCGTAGGGGAACTGAGTTCTTTCGCTGGGTTGAGGGAGGGCAGCGTTGGGGGCGAGGAGCAGAGCTCAGCTTGGGCACGAGGATAGGTGTGGAGGGTGCCGGGGCGCGGGGCTGGGGCTGGTGGGGGCCCCTCAGTCCGGTGGGCAGAGGGGTGGAGCTGCGTCGGGGAAGGGACTCAGCTTCGTCCCGCCTAGGGGTGGGTGCGGGAAGAGGGAGCCAGGGGCAGGCCGGGGCTCGAGTTCCCCGGGCGGTAGGGTGGGGCGGCGGGACGGTCGAAGGGGGTGCTGCGCGCGCCTCTGATCGCGCTCTGGGATACACAGGCGGCAGGCGCAGAGCTGAGATGCTGAGCCTCGGGGGCACCCTGCTGTGCCTGCTGCTGGCGGCGGCTGTCCCCACGGCTCCTGCGCCGGCTCCGACTACGACCTCAGCCCCCGGAGAATCCGGCCGGGTTCTCAGCTACCCGCAGGAGAAGGCCACCCTCAACGAGATGCTCCGTGAGGTGGGGGAACTGATGGAGGACACGCAGCACAAGTTGCGCAGCGCGGTGGAGGAGGTGGGTGCATCCTAAGAGCGCCGGACTGCAGGAAGCACAAGGCTCGGGGGAGGAGAGGGACTGGCAGGAAGCGATGCCCCTTCTGAGCTCTGGTCGATGCGTTGGCAGGGGATCTCGCGTCCTGAGAAGGACTGGGAAGGGCCCGCGGCAGACTCAAGTGACCGGGAGGCAGCGCTGGGGGATCCCAATTCCCACCTTGTTCTGCTTTCCTGCCAAAAGGTGGGGATCCCAATTCCCACCTTGTTCTGCCTTCCTGCCAAAAGGTTTGGATCTGAGCCTGTTGCCGAATGTCTCCCATTGGACCCTCCCACGGGCAGCTTGGGTCACCACCCGCAGGTGTCTTCAAGCGAGTATGCAGCTGGCCTCCCTCTGTTGCAAGCATGTGCTTGCAAGGCCCTTGGTATTCCAGCGCTGTGGCTTGGAGAAGGTTGAGGAAGCTCCTAGCAATCTTCAAGTTCTAGCTTATCTGCTGCTGGGCTTAGAGCTTGTGGCATCTTTCCAAGATACAGTTAGGATGCCATTTGGAGACAAAGAGACAAAAAGCCTTGAGCTTTGCAGAGTCTCCTGTCTGAGCTATCCTGCTTCCCCAAACTGCATGTTAGGGCAGAGAAGGGAAATGAACTCCCAAGTCCCAGACAAGTAATGCAAAAAGGATGAAGGGAGGAGGGCGTAATGTGAAAGAAAAACCCATCCCCACCCCAGGAGTGCTTTGTAGTCAGACCTGGGCTCAAGGTCCTCCTTGAGTAGGGTGGATCTTAATCCAACCTGAGTCCCATTGCTGTGGAGTCTACTCCGACTCATAGCAAACCTACGGGACAGAGTAGACTGCCCCATAGGGTTTCCAAGGAGCAGCTGGTGGATTTGAACTGCTGACCTTTTGATTCAGAAGCCGAGCTCTTAATCACTGCAATTATCAGAGACCATGTGTCTTGGCAAAGATCTTCCTTCCATCACCTCCCAGGTGCAAACACTGGATGGTGTCCTGCTCTGTCCTCTACGGTGGGCATCCAGGCGTCACCAGGGCTGCCTCGGCAGAAGGTGCAGCTGGCCCAGCTCTCCCAGCCTTAGTGTGGGATCTGTCCCTGGTGACTGGGGTAGGTGGACATGCATGGTCACCACTTGGCTGCAGCCTGTCTTTGGGGAGGAGCCAGTCATCCCTGTGAAGGAGTCATCAAGAGACCATATGGCTTCTCCACATCCCTGCTGTTTCCAACGTGGAAGCCCTGTTTGGCAAAGCCTTAAATGCTGGCTTGTGTCCACCCGGGAAAGGTTGATTTCTCCCCTCCACCCTGTGTAGTTTGGGGATATTTCCCTTCTCCCTTCCCACTCCCACGAGAATCAACCTGGTGGAATTTGCAGTGAAGTGGATACTAGTTTAGGAGGCAGTGACTTGGGAAGCTGTACCCTAGACATCCAGTGGATAGGCCCAGATTCCAAGACGCTTGGGTTTTCTGTTTCCTGTGACAGGAAAAGAACCATGACCTAGAAAAATGAAAGATAAGAGGAGTCAGATAGTGCCTGGTATCGCTTCACCCTGCAGCTTCAAATTAAGTTGAGCTCATGACTTCTCTGTATCCAGGGCAGGTCATCTCCTTTCCTTATTTGGGTTCTAGGACTTTCCCTCCTACATATAGATTCCCAAATAAGAATAACTACGTCACCTCCATGTTTTTATTCCATGTGAAAGTGCCCCTTACTGTTCAGAAAGTTTGCAGAGTGGTCCTCTGACATTGAGCTGAGGGAGCAGCAAGGGCCTTTTCAGTCTCTTCATTGATGACAGCAGTTTGGGGTCCAGCAGGACCATAGTGGTGGTGTGTTTTCCATGAGTTATCAATGTTGAGCCTCACCAGAACCCAGCCTTCCTACCTCCAGAGATGACTCTTCTTCCTGAGTTGTGGAGATTGGCAGACTGATGTTTGCTACCAGAGGAGATGCTGGCTACCACATCTATCCTATTCAGTGGTCATTTCCCAAGTGAGTGTCCTCACTGGCAGTGGGGACAGGGTGAGAGAGGGTGAACACTCGCCTGGCAGGAGAACAGGTCATGGGGACTGTTAGTCTCTTAGACTTGCCATAACAAAATCCCACAAATTCGGTGCTTTGTAAGAACAGAAATGTGTTGTCTCATAGCTCTGGAGGTGAGGAGTCCAAATTCAGGTTGTCAGCAGGGCCATGTTGTCTTGAAGGCTCCAGGGGAGGATCCTTTCTTGTCTCTCTAGCTTTTGGTAGCCTAGGCGTTCCTTGGCTTGCAGCTGCAGCATAACAACAGTAGTCACATGGCCATTCTGTGTCTCTTCTCTTTTATAAGGCATTACTCAGGGGCCCTGGTGATGCAGTGGTTAAGCCCTCAGCTGCTAACCAAATGGTCAGCAGTTCGAACCCACCAGCTGCTCCGTGGGAGAAAGATGTGGCAGTTTGCTTCCGTAGAGATTTACAGCCTTGGAAACCCTATGGGGGCAGTTCTACTCTGTTTATAGAGTCACTATGAATCAGAATCGACTCGATGGCATGGGACCTAGGCTAGATTAAGATCCACCCTACTCTAATATGACCTCATGTTCAAAGACCCTGTTTCCAACCAAGGTCACATTTACAAGTACCAGAGATTAAGACTTCAATATATCTTTTTGGGAGACACCATTCACTTCATAACAGGGACCAACTTTACTTCATTCAGTCCCAGCTCTGCCACACACTGGCAGTGGGACCCAGGGTCTGAAATGAAGAAAGTGTCTATCCCTGGGATAAAGGGGAAAACTAAATGACAGAATACTAGTAAAACAAGTTACTTGACTATCTAAAATGGAGTCAAGTAAAATAGGTATACAGGTAGATCCCTGATAAAGCTGTAAGGATTCTGGAGATTGTTGGTTCTCCATAAATAGTAGTTATCATTATCGTTTTATTAATAATAGTAGTGTGAGTACAAAGCACCACCAGTGTCTGATATATTGTAGATTGTCAACAGATTATGCTGTTTATATTCATCTTTTAAAAGAGACTGCCAGAGAGCCTCTTAAAGGCAAAAGGATAGTTGCTACTTAGTTGTTGTCCAGGAGAAGACAAACAGTGAGTAAAGACCTGGGCCAGATGCATTAATTATTTACATAGTTGCATCGAGAATCTGCTTTCCAGTAACTTCCTGGCATTTTAAATATTCCAGCTGACTCAAGTTGTTGATATCTCTTAAGGGGAAAGACAAAGTAACTTGGAGCGTCATTACTGGGAGACGCAAATCTTCAAGTGGCTTCAATACAGGATGATCCTGTTATCCTCTTTTATTATCCTTCCTGTTACTGACAAATTTATTTCTAGGACAAAACCATTCCATTTCTCCTGCCCTCATTGCCACATCTGTAACTGGCATATTTTAGAATGTTCTTGTTGCCTCCCTTATTGCTAGGAAAAACCTCAATACCAAGCCTGGATTTCTGTCTCCAATTTTTCCTATTATGCCCCTTCAACAGACACACAGATTCAACCAAATATGAATACCATTTTTAATGGCATTCACATTCCTGCTCTATGAAACAACTAGTATTGCTTCAGGCTTAAGTTTCTCTTGCTAGTGGCAGTAATAGTTGTGGTTGAAATTTCCATTGTAAACTGTAGTTTTAGTTCATGGTACCATTAAAGAACTCTTAGCTCATGCTGCCGAAATAACCACTGGCTGAGAGGGGGATAGGTTTTATAAAAAGACTATCTGCTCAGCACAAAGAAAACTCTAGCTTTGGTGTAACTTTTCAGTTATTTCAATGTCAGGCTGGAGGATTCAGATTCCAATGGGAATTTAAAAAATATTAAAACATTCCCTTCTCCTTCTGGACATATCCTCTCTAGCATCTTCAGTCTCTTACTCTTTTCCAGCTGTATCTTTTCTATCACTAAACATGTCAGAATATCTCGCCCTAAAAATAACAGTCCTTTTCTTGCCAGTCCTGTCTCCTTTCTTAATTCCATTCCTTCTTCCTTTTGTTGACAAACTCTTCAAACACATGACGTTGACTGACTGTTCTTTCTGCTTCTACCCACTCATTCACCTTATAAACTCTGGCAAGCTAGCTTCTTCTAAAATTGCTTTCTTCTTGTTGTTGTTAGATGCCATCTGGACGATTTTGACTCATAATGATGCCATGTGACAGTAGAACTGCCCCATAGGTTTTCTAGGCTGTAATCTTTACAGGAGCAGATCACTAGGTCTTTCTCCTGCAGACCTACTGGGTACGTTCAAATTGCCAAACAGCTGAGCACTTAACCATTGCGCCACCAGGGCTCCTTTTTTAAAGAACAATATTATGAAAACAACTATGTATTATGGTCAGTCCTCATTATTTGTGGATTCTGCATTTGCAACTTTGCCCACTTGCTAAAATTTACTTGTAACCCCAAAGACAATACTTGTAGCATGTTCGTGGTCATTTGTGGACATGCCCAGAGTGGCATTGATATCTGAGGTCCCACCTTGAGAAATTCCAATTTGGTAGGTCTGGGAATGAATCCAAACCTGTTGCAGTTGAGTTGATTCCGACTCATAGTGACCCTATAGGATAGAGCAGAACTGCTCCATAGGATTTCCAAGGAGCAGCTGGTGGATTTGAACTGCCAACCTTTTGGTTAGCAGCTGTAGTACTTATCCACCATGCTACTCGGGCTCCAGGAATGGATCCAGCCATCTATAATTTAAAAAGGTTCTGGAGATGATTCTGGTGTGCCCTCCTGATTGAGAACCAGACTTCAGAGCTGCCCTTTGGATCTGCCCATCCACCCCTCTCTACTTCATCATCCACCATGTTATCCTATGCACAGCATGGGCCCTCCCCTCGAGGCCATCAGACTCCCCAAAGTGTTCTTGTCCAAGCCACCACAGCTTTGCTTGTGCTGCCTGGAATGCCTTCTGTACTCACTCCCATTCTGTCCAAATCCCACCTCCTCTTGTCTTTCTTCTTTCTTCTTTGAACCTGACTTTCTTCTAGAGACTGTCACACAAGGTAGCTCATAATCACACTCTAGCTGGCTTGTGTGGGGCTTTCTTGTTTCCCCAGTAAAAGCATAAACTACGCAGGAAGGGCAGAATCGTGTATTGGGAAAGGCCCATGATTTGGAGTCAGACTGACCTGAGTTCTAATCTAAGCTTTGCCACTTACTAACAGTGTGATGACCTTAGGCAAAGTCTGTCACTTTTCTCAGCCTCTTCATCTGAAAAATGGGAGTAATAACACCTTCCTCACTGGTGGCACAGTAGTTAAGAGCTCAGCTGCTATCCAAAAGGTGGGCAGTTCGAATCCACCAGCCACTGTCTGGAAACCCTATGGGGCAGTTCTGCTGTATCCTGTACAGTCGCTATGAGTTGGAATCGACTTGATGGCAATGAGTTTGGTTTGGTTTTCGTAGGGTTACTGTGAATATTGAAGAACCCATGCCATGGAAGGAATCTGGTGCAATGGCTCAGACATAGCAGATGCCCCGAATATGGAGGCTATTATTATTATTATAAAACCAGTGATCAAGTTTCAAACATCTCAGAGTCAAACACAACATTGGGCATGTAACAGTCACTGGCCAAGTCTTTGGTTATCTCGCTTTGTGTTTGTAAAGGGGAGCCCCTGATGGCCAGAGCTGCCTGAGCCTTTGTGCCTGCTTGAACTGAACAGTGCTTTTGTGCTGCACTGAGATGTGGCAATTATTTTTCTTCATCCACCCCAGGTCAGCAGATTTGGTTGGGCAAGGCAGGAAAGAGAGGCTCATAAGGGGATACAGTACAGTGATTTTGTTTAATAGGAAAATATTTTTTGAGGATTAGTTTTAAGGAATAAAAATAACCCAGAGCCAAAGATAACAGAGATAGCAGTACTGGAAAATTGCCAGCTACCAACTAGCACTTCTCCTTGTGTCTCTCATCGTTAATTCTTAGAGAGGGTGTCTGATTGGCTCAACTAGTCCATAACGTGGCTTCCATTTGGGTCCAGTTAGCTGTGAACAAGGAGGGGAGGGCATGTGGTCTACTGCCCACTCATCAGGGCTGGGGGCAGGGCAGTAAATCTGGAAGAGGAAGTTGGGTACAGCAAGCAAGTTGACTGATGTATCTGATATAGATATCATGGAGATTCATGAAACCGGACTTGAGAACAGTAGTCTCAGAAATCCACTGCGAACATGTGTGAGAAGAGTCAGAAATGGTATGACCCTGGGGACCAGTTAACTGACCCTCTACAGGGACCCGTTAGCAGGGGATGAGGTGGCAAGAGACACATCTGTGGCCCTAGCTGCAAGGGACAAGAGGCTGTCTTAGTCTGGGCTTCCAACCCACACCAGACCCTGAAACAAGGATTTGGGAGCAAACTGTTTATTTGGCAGGTGATCTCAGGAAACGCTACAAAAAAGTGGGGAAATGAGTCAGGTAAGAGAAGAAAGGCAATAGAGGGTGCGATAATTAGTGGATTTCTGCTATGGGCAATTAGGGTTTAATCCCACTGGGAGCCATTGGAGAGATACTATAGAGATTCTGCCTGCCTCAGAATTGTCCTGCTGAGGGAAGAGGAAGCTGGGGTAGCCTGTCCCTCAGTGGTTAAGGATTGTTCCTAGGGGGTAAATTCCCTAGTGTTTGGGGCCTGTGCAGACTGAGCACACATCTGAGAATGCCTTCTGAAAACAAAGTTAGTTTGCATGTAAGGAAATTGATTGCAGGTAGGCTACAAGGAAGGAGCCCTGGTGGTGCAGTGGTTAAGCACTTGGCTGCTAACCAAAAGGCAGTTCAAACCCACCAGCCGCTCTGTGGGAGAAAGATGTGGCAGTCTGCTTCCATAAAGATTACAGCCTTAGAAACTGTATGGGAGCAGTTCTACGCTGTCCCATGGGGTTCTATGGGGTTGCTATGAGTCGGAATCAACTCAATGACTACAAGGAGATGGAAGGGGCACTGACAGCTTCTGTAAAGGGACCAAGACTGTTCTGTGGAAACATATTCACATCCCAGCTCCACACACCCTTCACTGGGAGTCTTGGAAAGCTGTCTGACCTCCCCAAGCCTCAGTTTCCCCATTTGTGAAGTGGAGACATTAACATCCACCTCACAGGGATGCTGTAAGATTTAAGGGCCATAATATGTGTAAAGGAGCCCTGGTGGTGCAGTGGTTAAGCACTTGGCTGCTAACCGAAAGTTGGAGGTTCAAACCCACCAGCCGCTCCATGGGAGACAGATGTGGCAGTCTGCTTCCATAAAGATTACAGCCTTGGAAACCCTATGGAGCAGTTCTACTCTGTCCTATAGGGTCGCTATGAGTTGGGATCGACTTGATGGCAGTGGGTAATATATGTCAAACATTTAGTACAATGTCTAATACATGGTGAGTACTCAATTAACAGTACTTACCATTATCACTATTATTAGTAATTTGCAGAAAAGGAAAAGAGGTTTTTTTTTTTTTTTTACCCCCTGATGGACTCTGATTTGTAATAAGACAGAACAGTTTTACTCATTAAACTCATTATTTAATAGATGGAGGCAGAAGAAGCTGCTGCTAAGACATCATCAGAAGTGAACCTGGAAAATTTTCCTCCCAGCTACCACAATGAGACCAACATAGACACCAGGATTGGAAATAATACCATCCATGTGCACCGAGAGATTCACAAGGTAAGGGCGGTCATGGCCAGCACTTCCTCCCTTCTGTAGCATCCAGTCCCCTCAGAGAACTCAGGTTTATTTATATATTTTATACATAAGTCAAACATATAAATGAGGATGGTAAAATACAGAGTAAAAGCAAGAGCAAGTGAGGGAGCTGTTTAAAGAGAAGAGATAAGTATCAGGAATCTAAATTGCTTTTGCATTTAAGCAATAAATTTAACTCTAGACTTCCTGCTAGCCCAATTGCAAGGGAAAGTTCAGGGATTTTTGTCATTTGAAAAAAAGAAGCACACAAGTGTCTAGCGAGATACTTTCCTAGTGTTGAATTTGAGGAAGAATTTCTCTAATAGATATTTATGTATGTTTCAGTAAGGAGTTGAAATAGAGGTGACCTTCACTGTTTCCTTGGGAGGAACTCAAACGTGATATAGCCTGTCTTCAGAAGGGGAAGCTTCTACTACCACGAGATCAAACATTCATTCACTTGCTGGTTATCTGTTCAAAATTCTATAGAAGATTCTTTTCCAACTTCCCACATGTCTAAGTGTCTCTCAGTCTAACATATATGAGAAACAAGCAGGTTTATTCCTAATCTGACGTCACAAAGAAAACTTTGCAGATCTAGAGGAACATAGTGTTAGCCTATCCCTGGTGCGAGATGTCTCCGACAAGATTTTGGTAGGAATTTGAGAGCAAAGCCTGTGCTTTCTGAAAGAGAATCTGCCATGTAGATATTTGGGGTCATTGTTAGAGGCTGCAGCGTTCACATTCTGTTGTGAATATCAAGGCACTTGATCTCTAATCTCATTTCAACTTCTATATGCAAAGCCACGATAGCTGTCACAAAAGAACCTTGCATTTTTTCAAGTGCCCAGGTAATTATTTGGTTGAAAATATGTTTCTGTACTACAGAGTGTAAGGGGGTCAATTTTTATGTGCCATTGCCTTGAATACAGAGTATCCTTTGTGTGGCTCACTCTTCTTGCACTGTGTATTGAGGGGCTCAGCTGGGGGAGTCAGCTAGAGAGTGTACCCTCCCACAGCCCAGGTAAATGAATGAGTTCACCTGCAATCAGAATTCTTTAACATTGCTCATCTGCAGACTGAGGAACGTTTCTAAAATTGACTATTTTAGTCTTGTCAAAACTAATGCTAGCTCATCTGACAGTTTTGGCTGTTTCTTAAAGTTCCTTCTTGTAGATGTCAGAAGACCTGAATTTAAGTCCTATTGGTTACTAGTGATTTGGAAAAAAGATTAAATTTGCTGACCCTCTGTAGCTGCATTTATAAAATAGAGATACTTATTCATCCCTATATAATACATAAACCAAAAGAATAACAAAACTGGGTGCCATTGAGTCAATTCTGACTCATGGCGATTTCAGAGTAGAACTGTGTTCCATAGGGTTTTCAGTGGCTGTAATTGTATGGAAGCAGATTGTTAGGCCTTTCTTCTGTGGCGTTACTGGGTGGATTTGAACCACTAACCTTTCTATTAGTAGTTGAGTACAAACCGTTTGCACCATCCAGGGATCCTTAATATGTTTCACATAGTGTTATATATACAGTATTATATGTATTATATACACTATTGCGAAGATCAAAGACCTTAAAGTATATGAAAGCTCTTTGTCAACTCTGAAGTGCTATGCAAAAGCAGGTTGTTATCTTTATTTCTGTTGTTGTGGTTGTTGTTGGATGCCATCGAATCAGTTCCAACTCATAGTGACCCCATGCAACACAGTAGAACTGCCCCACAGGGTTTTCTTGGCTGTAATCTTTATGGTAGTAGATTGCCAAATATTCCTCCTACAGAACTGCTGGGTGGTTCGAACTACCAACCTTCAGGTTAGCAGCTGAGTGCTTAACTATTGAGCCACCAGGGCCCCTTTCTGTTGTTATTACAGTACAGTTATGTTAGCAACTTAGTACAGTAGTTCTCAAGTGGGCCATGAGCATCAGTCCTGTGAAATGCTTCATGAAAAAAGGACTAATGAATGAGAAACTAATTTGCACTGTAAACTTTCACCTGAAACACACACACACACGCACACGCGCGCACACACACACACACACACACGATTTACAGCCTTGGACACCCTATGAGGCAGTTCTACTCTGTCCTGTAGGGCTGCTCTGAATTGGAATCAACTTGACGACGGTGGGTTTGATTTTGTTTCGGTACCTTTTATAAGTTTTATTTTCATAACATTTTAAAGTTCAAATGATCTGCTTTCCTAAGTGGTTAAGGGCTTTGATGCCAGAGACCTGGCTACTTTCTAACCAAGTCATTTAATCTCTGTAAATCTGTCTCCTCATTCACAAATCTCTGGATTTACAAGGTGGTTCAATTCCTGAAAACCAACCACCAGTTGCCGTCGAGTTGATTCTGACCATGGTGACCCCATATGTGTTAGAGGAAAGCTGTGCTCTGTAGGATTTGCAATGGCTGATTTTTCAGAAGTAGATTACCAGGGCTTTCTTCTGAGTCACCTCTGGGCGGACAAGAACCTTCAACCTTTTGGTTAGCAGCCAAGTGGGTTAACCATTTACACCACCCAAAACCAAAAAAAACCCATTGCCATAGAGTCAGTTCCGATTCATAGCAACCATATAGGACAGAATAGAACTGCCCCATAGTGTTTCCAAGGAGCGACTAGTGGATTTGAACTGCCAACCTTCTGGTCAGCAGCTGAGCTGTTAACTACTGTGCCTCCAGGACTCCATACCCAGGGACTCCCAATTCCTTAAAAAAAAAAAAAAAAAAAACCTGTTGCCATCGAGTTGATTCTGACTCATACATAGCAAATAATGCTTAAAATAATTTTCTCATAAGAAAAAAAGACAAAGATGCATTCCAATCGGTTGAAAACCATGTCAGTTGTGTCCCTGCCCTTCTGTGTATTGCTCAAATGTGAACAGTTAACAGTCTAAGATAAAATGTGTAATATTTGAATTTATGAAAAAAAAAGTTTTAAAATCACTAACAGATGAAAAACAAAAGGGGCTCAGTTGTGGTGAAACATATTTGGAAAAAGCTGTATATATTCTTCTTCTGGATATACACAAAAAACACAGTGGCACGATAAAGGCTCTTAGAAGTCCCCTAACCCATACATAGAGGATTGTAGAATTTTTTTAAAATATAAAAACATCAGTCAAACTGGTAAAAAAGCTGACATAGAGGAGAAAGATGCTGTCTCTTTATGGGAAGAGGCATTACTTAGATAAAAGCATAGTGATAAGGACCTGGCCCTTACCTCTTAGTAACTGGAATTTGATCTGCTACTGCAAATTAGGCTGAGTTTCCACTTTGTTTCTGGCTGCAGACTCCTGTGATATTAGAGCTGGCAGGGATTTTAAAGATGATCTAGAAATGAGAAAATTGTGAATCAGACAAGAGAAATTGCTTGTTTCAGATTGTTGGCACCTGAGCCAGGGCTGAAAGAACACAGATCTCCTAACTCTTGGGCCAGCATCCTTTCTACTCTTTATTACCAACTCAAACGTTCAAGATGGCCTTTGATGGAGCAGGATTCTAAGGCTAAGCTTCCTGGTTACAGAATCAGAGGCAGAGGGCAGAGGGCAGAGGGCAGAGGACAGAGAGAGGAACGTTAGGATAAGTCTCCCATGAGACAGTTCACCAGAATCAGTAGTGGAGTCTCTGTAGCTAAGACCTGCTTGCTTCTCATGAAAGATGTTTGACTGACACCCAGACTTCTAGTTGTTGAAAAGAAAGTTGACATTGAGTTTCAAGTGATGAGCCCTAAGAGTGACAAAAATAGCTGGTGCTGTTGAGCATTTGCTAGGTGTCAGGCTCTGTGCTGAGTGCTCTACGTGGGCCTCCTCATCACCCAACCTTCTGAGGTAGACTCTGTGAATACTCATTATCACTGCGCTGAGGGGAAGCTGTCCATCTGACAGCTGCTGGGTGGAATTCAAAAAGAAAGGGGAGGGTGGGCATTCTGTCTGCTTGGCCAGATGTTCCTGCTTCAGAAAATGAAAAAACAAAAACACACGTGGGAATTGCCTGGAATTCCTTCTATTTCACCCTAACTATACCTTTCCCACTAGGTAACCAACAACCAGACTGGACAAACGTTCTTTTCAGAGACTGTTATTACATCCATGGGAGATGAAGCCGGCAAGAGGAACCACGTAAGTTGTCATCCCCCCACCCTCACACTCCGAGGTGCAAACACCTGTGTTTAGCCTGCCAAAGGGGACCCAGACTTTGGATTGTGGGCAGGAGGCAGCTGACTCTTAAGCATCTCTCGTGCCTCATTTCTATCGAGATTCCCCAATTCCTCCATTTCTGGCCAGACTGGTAACAGCTAAGCCTCCATGCACTTCTACATTGGAGACAACAGAGAAATGCAGTTGTCATTTGCATGACCCCATCTCAGCTTTGAAAGGAGAACAAGGAGGTACCAGGTTTATTGGTTAGGGACCCTAGTAACAAGGCCTGGTGAATCAGACCATGAAATCCACTAAAGCCTCTGGTATGGCCTTTTATAATCCCAGCCCTGCTCTGGCAGTTTGGAAAAAAGAACATCTTAAGTGGAACCAATGACCTAAAGAGAAAAGGGTGTCCCCCCAGTACAAGGCTTCTCTCTGGTCCCCCTGGGATAACTCCTGTTACTCAGTTGCCTCTTGTTGGATCCAAAGAGCAGGGTAGTTTTTATAAAATTAGAGAGTCCTAAAGTTTGGAGCCCTGGTGGTACAGTGGTTAAGAGTTTGGTTGCCAACCAAAAGGCCAGCAGTTTAAATCTGCCAGCTGCTCCTTGGAAACCCCATGGGGCAGTTCTCCTCTGTCCTGTAGGGTTGCTATGAGTTGGAATCGACTCAACAGCAACAGGTTTGGTTTTGGTTTTTAAAGTTGGAAGGGGCACCATTTTACAGAAAGAAAACCAATAGTACAAGAAGGGGGATGAGTCACTTATTGACTATCTACTACCAGTGAGCTGGGGCCATCTTTGCAGAGCTGCAGGGCTTCTTTTTCTGAGTAGGAAGCTGTGAAGACTAGATTGCCTTCAAAGGAATACGAAGGGTGGAATATTGTCACCACTATCCCATTTCATCATTTTGTAATTTAATGATTTTTACAGTTGGCTCTGAAATGTATTACATGCTGCCCAAACTCTTAAAGGGGAAAGGTGGATTTGCCATTCAAAAGGACAAAATCATATGCTGTTTGAACCTTAAAATATCATAAACGGGCTACATTTTCAGGACTTAAAATTCACAGATGAATTCAGTTAAAAATCATCACCAAGCGCCTCATATTTTTCTTTCTTCCAATGCTGGTATGTGTATTAATATGTATGGTAACCTGAGAAGGCTCATGGAGAGTTACAGAGAGTAATATATGCCTGTCTAGAAAATTTAGCACGTTATGTTCAAGAGATCAGTCTGTTTTTACATTCAAATATGAAAGGGGAAAAGGACATTGTGGCTTGTTCTTTCACCTGGGTGCATCAGCTGATGGTTATGTGGTATGATGTCTTTGTGGGGAGGCTTTTGTGTAGAGCCCTCAGCCTGCCCCACTTCACAGGCCAGTGGTTAGGCTGACTGATGTTATGCTACTTTTGTGCAGGAAAGCTACAGAGAAAACAAACCATTATGCGTAAATGGAAAATGTTTATTTCTATAGCTGTGTTCCCAAATATGAAGAGTCTGGGCCAATTAGCCAAGGCACCATTTTGAAGGGTCATGTCCTCTAATTACAGTTCATGGCTACAAAGCTTTGCACATCCTGCATTTGTTGTCTTTCTGTTTTCACATTAGAATAAGACATAAAAGAGTGGGTCACTTTGTTTTTCCACCAGAACATACCTAGTTTGAACCTACAAATTCGATCACATACAACCAACTCCAAGATGCTGCTCAAAACTTCTGAGGCCACAGGTAGACAAATTTTACTACCAGACATGTCCAGGTAGCAGAGATTTGAGTAACCCAGAAACTTCCTTGTCCCAAAAAATGATCAGTGCTGACAGAGCTCTTTCGACTGTGGAATTCTCTACAACAAATGTGAAACCAAATGTCTTCTCTGTTGCATGATTACTTTGTCTGTTATTTGTGCTAAAGCCTGGGGGAGGTGGGATGTCAAACTATGGCTGAACTTTTCAACGGTGTTTCTTTGTTTCCCATCAAGCAGTAAGCATCCTATCACCTCAAAGCCCAGAGAGGCCAAACCAAGAATGCGGAAGGAGAAAGTGGGTTGAATGACCTCTTTCTCCATTAGGCCTCAAGTTCTCCCTTGCCCTGACTTGTTCATTCATCACAGAGTATAGATAGGCAGGTGCTGGCTTTGTTTTCTTCGTGTGTCCTGGTTTCTGATGCTGGAGCCTGTCAATTTAGTGAAATTTCAGAAGGTACCGTGATAACAAAACGTTCGGGGTTTATTTTAAGGGAAATCCATCAGGGGAACGTGCAGGCCCACTAGAGAGACTGTCCGTTCCCAAAGGACCTACCTCCTGGAAGTCCTACTGCTTGGGGGTACTGCAAAGGTGATGCCCCAGGAAATGCAGCCCTTCCCCTTCTGTCAGTCTTGGGCAGATTGAAGAAGTCTGAACAAGGTGTGAAGCCAACCTGGGTTCACACTCTGCCCTGACCCTTACAAACGCTGCTCTCAATGATTCAGTTTCCTCATCTATCAAATGAGGCTATAATCCTTGCTGTTTCACAAGATTGGGTGAGACTCCACTAAGGCAAGATTTATTAAAGTCCTTTGTGTAAGGTTCATTATTACTGAACAGTAATTAAAACTGGCTTCTTATTGGCTTCTTGCCTGGTATCCTGCAAATAGATTGGAATTTGACTGGAAGCTGAGAATATGTTTAAGACCTCCATGGGCCTCTTTCCCCTAAAATTTTGTAGCCTTGGGCTGATGTCATTCTCTAGTGACCTATCTGAGTAATTCGCTTTGCCAGAAGCTGTGTGCTACTAGACTGAAGGTTGACTCACTCTGTTGTTCCTGTCCTTGCACGTCATATGTGTCTGGGTATGACGGTGTTGGGGATATAGACAGAGGACAGACGGGGCCGTAATGAACGACAAGGCTGGTAGGTGATGGTCAGGCGCTGACAATCCCATGCTGGAGCCCCAAGTTGTATACTGGGTGTATACAGGTTTCTACAGAAAAGAATACTGTGGTCCTACAAATGATGAGGTAGTCTTGTGTGAAGGTACACTTCCACAGTCGTATAGCCAGACAAATAGGAGCCCTGGTGGTGCAGTGGTTAAAGTGCTCGGCTGCTAACCGCAAAGTCGACCATTCAAACCCACCAGTGGCTCCATTGGAGAAAAGACCTGTCGATTTGCTCCTGTAAAGATTACAGCCTAGGAAACCCTCCAGTTTGAGTCTCTATGATTTGAAATCAACACGACAGCACACAACAGCAACAGCAACGTAGCCACACAGAGAGTTTGGGTGGGTGCATTTATGTTTCCGGATTTATATTTTGAGTTGGCTTTGTGGTTTCTGGCTGGATGTAAAACCCTCTTACCTTAATCCAGTAGGAAAAAAAATTATAGGGAAAATTGAAGAACCCTGAATCATTATGGTAAATGAGTTAACAATTCCCAAATAAAGATGTGGGTGAGCAATTTTTCAGGGGTGTGCAGTATTTTTTGAGCTACAACCTGGCTATATTAAGCTGTGCTCTCCTCAACCAAAGTACCCATAAAGAAAGAATCCATTAAATATAAATGATTCTACATCCAAAATCAAAATATTATGAAGTTAATAATGAGTTTCATATAGGTTTCATATAAGTTGGTGTAAAACAATATCTTCAGTAAAATGTTAAGTAAAAAAAAAAAAAGAATTACAGAACAGCATATAAAATATAATCTCATTTTTAGAAAAAAACCGTATGTATAAAAAAAGCATGGCAAAATACATACCAAAATCATTAATAGTAGATATTTCTGGAGGAATTGAAATTTGGAGAGAATTTTCCTTTATAGATTTCTGTATTTGCTTAATATTTTACAAAGGGCTTGTGAATTATTTACTTTTGGACTAAACATCTATCTGTGTTTTTGAATGATTGTGCCTATAGTTTCATTGTGTAAATCCTAGGAATAAAACTGCTAAACCAAAAGGTGTGCATATTTCAAATTTTGAGAGCTATTCCTAAGTTTTCCTCCAGAAAGGCTGTAGTAATTTATACTCTTAGCAGCAGTTTCTGAGACTGTATCTCACCAACCCTCACCTACAATGGGTATTACAGTGGGTGTTTATCTGATAAGCAAGGAAAAAAAATCTTTTTGTTTACATTTCTTTGATGATTATTAAGGTCAAGGTGGGTGGCTCTCTGAGAATTGTATGATGTAGCAAATATAAACCAGAAAAAACCTGTGGCTGTCCAGTCGATTTTGACTCATAATGAGCCTATAGGACAGAGTAAAACTGCCCTATAGGGTTTCCTAGGCTGTAATCTTTATGGAAGCAGACTGCCACATCTTTCTCCTGTAGAGTGCGTTTGAACCTCCACGTGGTGGGTTCGAATCTCTGACCTTGTTAGCAGCCGTGTGTTTAACTACTGTGCCACCAGAGCTCCTTGTAGCAAATATCACCAAAACAAAAAACAAAAATCAAACCCGTTGCCATCGAGTCGATTCTGACTCATAGTAACCCTATAGGACAGAGTAGAACTGCTCCATAGGGTTCCCAAGGAGTGGCTGATGGATTCAAACTGCCGACCTTTTGGTTAGCAGCCCAGCTCTTAATCACTGTACCACCAGGACTACAGAACAAATATAGTGTTCTCAAATTTAGCTCATCAGTTTCACATTCCAGGCTGTTCCAAAGACCAAACACCATCTGCCCCAGTGTGGGCAGATTACGAAGGTGTGAAGTTCCAGCAGAACTGTGAGCTGTCAGTGTTAATGTGGGATTCCTGATGGGCTGTGAGTCACACAGGGGAATAGGTGATAGTGACATGCCTCCACCCCACTAACTACAAAAAAGACAGGAGCTTCCTCCTCCCTGCCCCCACCTCCATAAACACTCCGAACGAACGGCTAACACCTTCTGGTAGATCACTTCAGTGGTGTAGTAAAGCGCTTGGGCTCAGGCAGATCAGTTCAAATTGCAGCTCCATTGCTTATTAGCTTTGTCACTTTGGGACAAGTTCTTTAACTTTTCT